GCTATTTGTTTTCTGCATATCATGTCTTTTTGTTTCTCTGTTTCTGCATTAGTGCCTTTTGTGTTAACTGTTTTCTAGTGTACCATTTTAATTCCTTTGTTTCTATTACTATATTTTATAGTTTTTTTTGTGATGGTTGTTCTGGGGTTCACAATTAACATCTTAGTTTATAACAATCTAGTATGTAGTAATACCAATTTAATTTGAATAGCACACAAAACTTCTGCTTCTATTTAGTTCCATTCCCTCTCTTCTTAATGATTTTATTGTCATACAAACTACATCTTCATACAGATATGCCTCATCAACACAGTTTCATAATTGCTGCTTTCTGTAATTTTATTTTAAGTAAGGATGGAGAAATAAGAGAAAAAAATTTATACTGTCATTATATTTGTCTATGCAGTTTCCTTCCTGGTGCTTTTTTTTTTTTTTCCCCACATGGATGTGAGTTGTTGTCTAGTGTCCTTGCATTTCAACTGAAGGATTCTCTTTAGTATATCTTGTAGGGAAGTTGTGCTAATGACGAATTGTCTGTTTTTGTTCATCCAAGAATATCTTAATTTTCCTTCCTTTTTGAAGGGAAATTTTTGTCGAAATTGAATTCTTATTTGAAAGAATTGAACTGCAATATGCAAATATTCTGAAATTCCTTCAGCACTTTGAATAAGTCATCCCACTTCCTTGTAGCTTCATGTTTCTGATGCAAAACCAGCTGTTAATCTTATTGAGGATTTTTGGTACCTGCTGAATCACTTCTCTTGTGTTGCATTAAAGATTCTCTCTTCATCTTTGTCTTTTGAAAGTTTGATTATAATGTATGTGGTTTGGAATTCTTTGGGCTTGTTGGATATGTAGATTGCTTTTCTTTAAATTATGGAAGTTTTTGTCCATTATTTCTTTGAAAATTCTTTCTGGCCATTTCTCCTCTTATTCTGGGGCCCCTAATATATCTATGTTGTTGTGCTCAATGGTATCCCACAGATCTCTAAGATTCTGTTCATTTTTCTTTATTTTTTCTTTCTGTTCCTTAGACTGAATAATCTCAATTGACATATTTTCAGGTTCACTTATTCTTTCTTCTGCTAGCTTCTCTAGTGAATTTTTCATTTCTTTCATGTACTTTTCAACTCTAGAATTTCTTTTTGGTTCTTTCAAAAAATAATTTCTATTCCTCTATTGCTATTCCCTCCTTGATGAGACATTATTGCCATGTTGCCATACTTTACTTTAGATATTTAGACAAGGTTTCCTTAGTTCTTTGTACATATTTTTATAATAGGTGATTTAAAGTCTCTGTTTAGTAAGACCAACTTCTGGGCTTCCTCAAAGACAGTCCTATTGACTGCATTTTCCCCTGTGTATGGGTCATACTCTTGTTTCTTTGTATGTAATATTTTTTTTTGTTGAAAATTGAACATTTTAAATAATATAATATGAAACTCTGTAAACCCCTATTTCTCAGGGTTTATTGTTTGCTGTTTTTGTTGTTTGCTGCTGCTTCTTGTTTGTTTAGTTACTTTCCTGAGTTAAAGTCTGTATTCTTTGTCATGTGTGGCCACCAAAGTCTCTGCTTGGTTAGCTTCATGGCTTGCTAATGACTGGATTTATATATCATTAAATGTCTTGAACCAATAAGTCTCCCAGTTTTTGCTGAAGATCTCTGTGGCTTGTTGGGGGCATGTTTTCTATGCCCTGCAGGCAGTTTACAACTCTGTCTTAGCCTTCACTTCCAACTATCCCAAACCTCAAGGTCAGCCAAAGGTGAGAGATTAGGGTTTCATCAAGTCATTTCTGGGCACGTGCACAGCCCTGAACATGTGCATGATCCTCTAAATTGCCAAGAATATATTATAGCTTCTCAAAAACAGCACCCCCCAACCCCCACACACCCATATACATGATTTTCCAGCTTTGCCTTTTAAGTATTTTGATCAGGTTATGGTTTGCCTCAATTGTGATCACTGCCTCGGGCATCTGTGGTGTTAAACAATGGCTACTGATTATTTTTGACAACTGCCTTGGGGAGAAAGGCTGTTTGTATGAATGAACTCCAATTCAGGTCAAATACAGAGAATCCCTGTGAATGAAGGTTTTCAGGGTACTGTCAGATCAAATAATGACAGTATCCTGGGGATGGGGCTTTTGGGTAACACTAAACCTGTTCTCCTCCAGTGTCTGTGGGACTGCTGGTTTTCATGGCTACTGTAATTCTAAGGATTTTGGTTTTCAAGGCTACAGAAGACCTGAGTAGAGGAGATGGGGAGTAGAATACATTAACACACCACAATATCACTGTTTTAACCAAAATTCAGCTGTTTTTCTCCAATAAATACTCTTCAGATTGTTTCAAATCTCTGGTTAATTTCTGGAGCTGTAAAAAGTTGATTTTGGCAGTTGTTGGTAGTGTTCTCTTTTGCTTTTATAGAGGGCCTGATTTTTGGAGGTATTTGGTCTACTATTCTGAACGTACTTTTTCTATGTATGTCTTTATCTTGAAAGTGATTTTTTTGCAGACAGCAAAAAAGTGTCTTGCTTTTTTATCCAATCTGAATAATTTCTGCCATTTAATTAGAATGCTTAGAATATTTGCATTCATGTAATTATCCATATGGTTGTTTTTTTTTTTTTAAGATTTTATTTATTAGAGAGAGAGAGACAGCGAGAGAGGGAACAGAAGCAGGGGGAGTGGGAGAGGGAGAAGCGGGCCTCCCACGGAGCAGGGAGCCTGATGCGGGGCTCGATCCCAGGACCCTGGGATCATGACCCGAGCCGAAGGCAGTTGCTTAACTGACTGAGCCACCCAGGTGCCCCTATCCATATGGTTGTTTTAAGTCAACTGCTTTGCTTTTTATTTTCTATTTGTTCCATCTGATTTTCTTTACCCACCCTCCTTTCCTGCTTTCTTTTTGGAAAGCTGCTGGCTGTTCTTTTAAAAGCATGGCAGAATTTGTAGAATTGTGGATGAGAAAAACTCAGGCCTTCTTGCATATATTACACATTGGAAGGAGAGTCAGTAGTTTCTAGTAGGACAATTAGAGCAGCTGCATTACTCAATAGAAATAGAATATGAGTGACAAATTTGAACCAAGGATGTAATTTTAAATTTTTTACCAGGTACATTAAAAAAAAGTTTAAGTAGATAAATTAATTTTAATAATTTTATTTAAATGAATATATTCATAGTGTTAGTTATTAATGAAATATTTTATGCTGATTTTGTAATAAGTCTTCAAAATCTTTTTGAACAAGTTGTCAAAATCTTCAAAATCTTGTATTTTACATTCATTGTCCATCTCAGTTTTAGACTGGCCACAACTATAAGCATAAATGGCTTGCAGCTACCACATTGGATAACATGGAGTTAGAGGGATTCTAACAGGTTTGATTTTAATGAGGCAGAGTAGGAAATGAAGGTGATGGACAGCATGAGATTTGCTGAGGACCTTGATTTTAAAAGATTTTAATAATCAGTGGGGAATGTATTAGGACAGAAGTGGAAAACAGAATAAGAGGGAGATGGAGTCAAAATGTCTGGCACAGAAAATAATAATCTTAACTGCTATGTACAAAGAGACATGAAGTCTTATTTATTCAATGTAGTTATTTGTGTTGAGATGACAAATGATAATGATTTTCAGTCTAACAATAACTGTAGCTAATATTGGTTGGATGCTCTGTTAGGCACTTTTCTAAGCACTTTTGAATGTATTGTATTGATTCATTTACTATGTCATTTTAAATAAGTAAATCACTTATACTTTCTTGGGTCTCTGTTGTTATCATATATAAACAATCTGAAGCTGTACTTGATAATCTCTAAGCTTCTTCTAAATACTGAAAGTCTGTTTTTGGATATATTGATGAGGAAAATAAAGTTTCTGTCCTCAGAATTATAATTATAAGGGAGTTATAATTAAAAGAGGTGGGATGTACCCACTTAATTAAAATGCATGGAGACAATAATTGGGCCTTAAGAGAACTACAAAATGTTATGAGAATCTAAAATGTATTTACTTGAATATAGTAAATTCATAGTAAATCTTTGAGTTAGGTGGACTTGAATAATGATAGCTGGTGAGTCAGGAGAAGTTTTGTGTAGGAGAAGCAGCTGATTGATGTAAGCCTTGGTAAGTGATGAGTATAAATGAGGAGGAGATGGAATGGAGTGGTAGGGAGTAGTCATCCAGATAATGGAAGAATGTAATGTGTGTGTTCAGAGGACAATAAAAATATACTTTGACTGTATTTTGACTGTATTATTGGGGAGGCATTGAGTAATATTACTATGTGGGTAGGTTGGATTCAAATCTTAGAGAGCCTTTAATATCTCTTTAAGTGTATGGTTGATCACTGACTAAATGAAATATAGCAGGGACTGGGGAGACTGCCATGTAGTTTTTAGAAAGCCTATATTTTGTGCCTATATTTTCTGTCAATCTTGAGGCTAATTAAGTGCAGTTTCATATTTTAAAAAAATTTCACTGGGCCAGAAACTTATAATTCATTAGCTTTGAAACTTTGTCATATTGCTTTTGATGAGGGTGTGTATGGGCTGCTGTGTAGGGTGATATAGGTCAGATTTGTGTTTTTTATCACTATTTTTTTGTGTCCTCTAGGATAGTGCTTTGTTTCTGCTGAGTCTTAATCCTTTGTGATTAAATGATGCTGAAGAAGTTTATGTCAGCATTCAGCATAAAGTGGGTGCCTAAGGCTGACTGTTTAAAACTGTTAGTGTCTGTCCCAAGAGCCAGTACACAGAGCTTCAAATGTGGCACAAATAACCAAATGGAGAATCATAGATTTCTCAGGGGGATGGAAGTTATAAAGGCATTTCATTTAACTCTGTAAACATTAGAATCTCTCTCTCTCCTTTTTTTATTTGTGTGTGTTTTTATTAGCTTAGCAGACTAGTGTTTTTATGTAATGCCTTGTAAATTATTTTAGTGGGATAGTTCAGGGAATTCATAAAGCAGTTACATCTATCTAATTTCATTCAGGTAACTTGTCCAGGAGTGGTGCTGAAAGACAAGGAGGACATCTATCTTAGCATCTGTGTGTTTGGCCAATACAAAAAGACACAATGTGTCCCAGCCAATTTTCCACTGGTCTTCAATGCCAGAATGGTGTTTGAAAAGGTGAGTTCAAATATCAGATCAAATATTAACAAATAATCATAGTACTTCCAAATTTTTAATAAAAGCCCAGAACACAAATTATTGTTGCTGACTTTATACTTTGGTTTCGTTCGAAAGGAGATATGTAATTTAAACCCGGAAGCTTGAAAATAAATATGCATTCTGTTATGCATTAAATCAGTTGTCTCTTTTTCATGATGGATCAGCTTATTTCTAAAATTATGTTAGTGGGCTTTATGTAAAATAGAGCATCTTGAGTATTAAATAATTTTTATAAAAAAAGAGAGGAGATATTAATGGGAAAAAATAAGTTTTATTTTTACTATGGCTATCTTATGATACTTCTTTCTATGAGTTTCTTTTCTATTTTTCCCTGAAACTGCTGCTTTTGGTTATTACCAATCATATTCCTCACTTTTTTATCTCCTTCTTTCCTTCTCTGCTTTCCTTCCTTCCTTCCTTCCTTCCTCCCTCCCTCCCTTCCTTTCTTTTCCTTTTCTTCTGCAAGGAAGTACCCACGTCTTGCTCTGTTCCATGCACTGTTCTATAGGCACTGGATAAACAAGACAAACAGCCTCCTCTCTTGGAGCTTTCACTGTAATAGGAGAAACAGGCAATAATCAAGTAAACACAGGAATAATACAAATTTAGATAGTGATAAGTGTCATGAAAAAAATAAAGGGAGGGTGAGGGGACAGAGAGGGGCTGAGTGATTAGGGGGATTATCTAATTTAAAGGGTGGTCAGAGAAGGCAGTAACATTTAAGCTGAACCTGAATTATGAGATAGTTATCAGTTATTCGAAGGTCTAGGGGAAAAGCATTCTAAGCAGAGGAATAGCAAATATAAAGCCTTCTTGTTGGGAATAAGCTTGATGAGTTGGAGGAGCACCAAGAAGGTCAGTATGACCATGGAAACAAACAGGGCAGGAACTGGAGGTGAAGAGGAAGCACAGGTGAAGTTGGAGAGGGCACGACAGCCAGCCGTAAGATATGTTTAATTGTCAAATCCTCCATAGTGATCATGGGAAGCAGAGACGAAGTGCCAGTCTTCAGTAACGCCAGACGTTTCTTTGGTTGGGAAAGGAATATTTGGGGAATGAGAGGGAAAACACAGACTGTTGTTTCATGTGTATATTCCTTTCCCTTCCTGTCTTCACCTTGCTTCCCTTTCCGTTCTCCCGCTCCAGGTGTTCCCTGAAGCAGTAGACCCTGGAGATGTGGTTGCACAGCTTGAATGTAAGTTTTTAACTTTTAATTCCTGATTCTAGGGCATTTTAGAATTATGCTGCTTAATCTTGGGTTAGGTAAAAGTTAAAAAGAGTCTACTAAGAATTTTAAAAATCTTGAGTTGAGACTTTTTAAACACTTTTTAGAAACATTTTTCAGAATATACCTGGAAATAATAAAATATACATGTGCTGCAGAGAGGCTGGGAGTTTTTCCTTTTTCTGTGTTAGGTCTGTGGAAATCAAAAAGGCTTATTTGAACTTTATATTGATTTAGATGATATGAAATGTTTTTGATGTAAAGATAGAGATTCACATTGGGTGGGACTTTGCCCTGCAAACAAGCCTATGTCTTTAACCTCAGGGTATTACAAATTAATAGAGTAAATAATAGAAGATTGAAGTAATGGTAGCTTAAAATTATATATGACTTGCACTTTATATTGCATCTAATATGTTGGTAAATTATTTGAAATGACATTTTCAAGGCTGTGAATAATAGTAAATTCCTCAAAGTACTAGGAATCAACTATAAAAAGATACAACTGTTTTTGATAGCAGCAATGCAAAGTTATATATATACTTGGGAATAAGTTATTCAAGCTCTGGGTATGAAATGAAAAGCTCTGTTATTTATCCTTATAATTAGAGAGGGATCTGAGATCACCAGTTTGGTCTAATATATAACTGTGGTTCAAACACCAACAATTTTGGGCATGATCAATGTCACCTGTTCTTCTGCCCTGCACCCCCTGGGATTCCAGCATTGTAGAAGCATGGAACCTGGCACCATGCTGGAATCTGGGCATAGGGAGAGAAACAGGGCCAGCTTACTGTCTTATCTTCATGAATCGTACAGTTGAATGATTCTTCTCCAGAGAACTCTTTATGGCCACTGTCATCATCTTACTTATTTTTTTATAGTTGTTCTAGCCCTTGCTATTCTGTCTTTCACTGTGGTAGATTAGGTAGGTAGCAGTTTGGTGCCAGTAGGTAAATGCCTTTTTTTAAATAACATTACATAAATGTTAATATTTCTTGAACATCTTCCTCAATATCTGGGAAATTGTGTTGTGTATCTTAGAAAATATGAATTCTGGTATCTAAATATCTAAATATTATCTAATATCTAGATATTGTTATCCCATATCTAAATATGAGATAATTATTTCATCATTCTGAAATTCTTTTGTTTGAAACCTTTTTTTTTTTACTATTTTTTTTTTAAAGATTTATTTATTTGAGAGAGAGAAAGAGAGGGAGAGTGGGAGCAGGGGAAGGAGCAGAGGGAGAGACTATCCAAGCAGACTCTCACTGAGCGCAGAGCTCCACACAGGGTTCCATCTCACAAACCATGAGATCAGGACCTGGGCCGAAACCAAGAGTTGAATGCTTAACCCTCTGAACTACCCAGGTGCCCCCTTTTTTCTATTTGATTTGAAATTTGGGGGCTATAAGAAGCGTACTTCATGGTTCTTATTATTTGGAAACTTTCTTGCTTGATTTTCCTGATGCAGTTTTTCTCTTAGGTCTCTTCTCACCTTACTGATTCCACTTTTTGGTATCTTTCTCAAACTCCTCTTTCTCTGCTCTGTCTTTAAATATTCCTATTCCACTGGCTTTACTTCTCTGGTCTCTTTTTATGTATTTATTTTCTATTTTCTCCTTTATTCTGCTCTCCAACAACTTGGCTTCATGTATTCTCTATCTTCTGATGACTTCCACATCAGTCTTTATCTTTGACCTCTCCTCTGAGCTTTTTCTTTTTTTCTTTTACGTTTTTTCCCTCTTAGTTGTACAGTCTTTCACTGTCCACTAACCTTATTAATATGAAAAATTTAAAACATACTAAGAGTGGAGAGGATGGGATGATGAAGTCCAATATACCTATTGTCCAGCTTCAACAATTTTCAACATATTATCAGTCTTATTACATGTACACTCTGTCACTTAAAGTAATTGTGGGACTCTTTAAAAGCAAATTCTTTACATCATTTTATCACAAATGCTTTAGCATGTCCTCCAACTGATAAAGACACACACACACACACACACACACACACATACAACCACTATGCTGCTATCATGCAAGAAAATTAATAATTTCTTAATAACATCAAATATGTAGTCATTAGGAAGATTTCCCCAGTTGTCACCAAACGTCTTTTTACAGTTGGTTTGATAGAATCAGAATCCAATCAAGGTGTGGTTCACACTCTGTGTATCGCTGTTTAGCTCTTGAGTTTCTTTTTTTCTGTAGTAGTGTCCCTCACTTTTTTTTTTTAAGATTTTTTTTAAGTAATCTCCACACCCAATGTGGGGCTCAAACCTATAACCCCAACATCAAGATTCACATGCTCCACTGACTGAGCCAGCCAGGCACCCCTTTAATGCTGTGAATTTGCTAGAAAAACCAAGTCGTTTAGAATATCCTACAACTTGGATTTGACTGATTGCTTCCTTTAAGGGTTGTTTAGCTTGATTATTACTGTATTATGTAAACTGATAATTAGATCTAGAGGTTTGATTGGATTCAGGCTTATTTTATTTTTTTTGGCAAGAATCTTTCAGAGCTGATGCTGTGTACTTGTAAAATATCAAGTGGTATATGAGTCTGATGATCTTAAGTTTAGTGATGTTAAGATTGATGATCTGGCTCCAGGCAGCACCAGCCTGATTCCTCTATTGCAGAGTTCCTCATCAGTCTTTCATTGAGTAGCTTTAGCACCCTTTGAGATCCATCTTTTAATTAGGGATTACAAAGTGTGATTTTTCTAATATTGTCACTTTCTGTATTTATTAGCTGGAATTCCTGTATAAAAGAAATTTTCTTTATTAGCAATTTGGTTACCCCGAAAGACAGTTCTTGTAGGAAAGGCAGAGTCATTCTTCTCCTCTTCCCTTACAGTAATGGCTTTAGTGAGGTATAATTTGCATATCACAAAAGTCACCATTGTAACTGTAGTTAAATGATTTCTAGAAAATTTATACAGTTGTGAACCATCATCACAATTCATGATACTGCCATCACCCAAAAAGTTCCCTGATGCTCATCTACAGTCATTCCTTATGCCCACTTCCTGTCCCCTATCTTTCTTTGCCTTTTCTAGAAATTTCATGTAAATAGATTAATATGGAGTCTTTGTCTGGCTTCTTTCATTAAAATAATATTTTTGAGATCTATCCATATTGTTCTTTGTATTAGTAGTTCATTCCTCTTTAATGACAAATTAGTATTCTATTGTATGAAATTTTTCCCTTTCCAAAACTCCAAAACATTTCTGAGTGAAATTAAAGATCAGCTAAAAAAAAAAAAAACAAATGAAATGACACATCGTGTTTATAGATCAGAGATTTGATAGTTCATGAAGGAAGTTCTCCTAAAATTTTTCTCTGCATTTAACATTATTTCTATTTTATGGATATTTGGATGAACATTTGGATTATTTCTAGTTTTTGGCTATTATGAACAGTATTGGTATGAATATATGGATATAAACTGGATTGTATAATATGTATATGTTTAACTTTTTTTTAAGATTTTATTTATTTACTTATTTGAGAGAGAGAGCGAGACAGTGAGAGAGAGCATGACTAGAGGGGAGGGGCAGAGGGAGAGGGAGTAGCAGACTCCCGGCTGAGCAGGGATCCTGACGCAGGGCCCAGTCCCAGGACACTAGGACCATGACCTGAGCTGAAGGCAGATGCTTAACTGACTGAGCCACCCCGGCACCCCCGTGTTTAACTTTTTAAGAAACTGTCCATCTGTTTTCCAAAGTTACTGTACCATTTTAATTCCCACTAGCAATGTATGAAGGTTTCAGTTTTTCTATGCCATCCCCACAACTTGATATTGTCAATCTTTTGGAGTAGAGTAGTCCCCCTTATTAGTGGTTTCCACTTTCTACAGTTTCAGTTACTCATGATCAACCAGGGTCCAGAAGCCCATGATTCTCCTTCTGACATTTTTTCAGAAGGTCAGTAGCAGCCCAATGCTGCATCACAATGCCTGTGACCTTCACCTCACTTCATCTCATCTCGCAGGCATTTTATCATCTCGCATCAGATAGAGGGATTACAATAAGATATTTTGAGAGAGAGAGAGACATCACATTCACGTAACTTTCACTACAGTATATTATGATTGTTCTATTTTATTAGTTATTGTTAATCTCTTACTGTGCCTAATTTATAAATTAAACTTTATCATAGCTGTGAATGTACAGGAAGAAAACACAGTATGTCTAGGGTTTGGTACTATCCAGGGTTTCAGGCATCCACAGGAGGTCCCCTTGGAGCACATCGCCCAAGGACTACTAGATGGACATTTCGGTGGATGTGTAATTCTATCTCTTTATATTTTTAATTTGCGTTTCAATCATGAATAATGATGTTGAGCATCTCTCCATGTGCTTATTAGGTATTCATATATCTTTTCTTCTAAAATGCTTATCCAGATCTTTTGCCAGTTTTTGTATTGGGTTGTTTGTCTTTTTATTGAGTTGTAAGGTTTTATAAAAATTTTTTTTAATATTCTAAATATAAGTCCTTTTTTTTTTCCCAGTCTGTGGCTTGTCTTTTCATTCTCTTAACAGTATCTTTTGAAGAATAAAAGCTATGAAGTCCAGTGTATCAATATTTTTCTTATATGGATCATGTTTTTGGTGTCATATCTATGAAATCTTAATCCAAGGTCACAAAAATTTTCCCCTATTTTTTTCTAGGAATTTTATAGTTTTACTCTTTACATTTAGGCATATGATCCATTTTGAGTTAATTTTTGTCTATGATGAGAGGTAAAAGTCTAGTTCTTTTTTTCTTTTTCTTTCCTTTTCAAGAATATGGCTATCCAGTTGTCCCCTTTGAATTTCCTTACATCTGTTTTGAAAACCAATGGACTGTAAGTGTGAGGGGTTACTTGTAGACTTTAGGCAGTTCCATTCATCTGTATGGCTATCCTATGTCAATATGACTGTCTTGATTACTGTGGCTTTATAGTAAGTTTTGAAA